GTAAATACACAGAAAACAGGAGCTGCTATTATTACTGTTGTTGTTGTTGTTAGCTGGAAGGACTCTTCATTAAGTGCTCTCCTTTGCTAAAAAAGCCAGTGAGATCTAGAGAGGTGAAATGACTTTTCCAGGCCCTGCAGAGAAGATGTGGCATTTAAGCCAAGTCCCTGGGCTCCTAATCTTGGAAAACGCCACCAAATGATGGAATGGAGAATCCCCAAGGGAGAGAGGGTGCCGGGAAAGGCAGGTCCTGATGGTCCCTGGGGTGAACCCAGGATGAGGCATCTCGTGTCCTTGCCCCTTGTGTGCTGCTTTCCACACCTCGTTTCTAACTGGGGACACGTCAGATCATCTTCCCTGTTCTGCAGATGTGGAAACAGAGTTGCTAGGCAGGCTGTGGCTTGTCTGACACACAGCTGGTTGGTAGCATCCGAACCCACAGGAGACCCCAAAGTGTCTTACCTGGAGAGCAGAGGCCCCCCACCCCCATCCTGTCCTTGCCCTGGAGGCCAGGCCGAGCTCACAGCCTGCTGGCTGCAGCCCCACCCCACCGCTTACCACAGGCCAAGAGTGCAGCGAGGACAGTGATGCCCAACATGGTTGGATGCTCAGGACTGGCTGACCCTCAGGATGGGCTGGGCACACTTATAGGCAAGAGCAGGTGAGTCACCTGGTCAAGGCCAAACCGCCCCTTGGAGAGAAACCTGCTCTGATAAGGCCCTTTCCCCGACCTTGGGTGGTTACTGTTTAATTCGGGCGGGAGATGGGGCTTTTTCAGAAGTATGGATTTTCCAAATATCCTGAAAGAGAAAATTCTGAGTTGCAGTGCTTTTTGGCATCCCCCACCCCACTCTGCTTGACGTGTGTGTTCGTTCTCTCTCCCTACCTTATAGTATTTATTTATTTATTTATTTATTTGGAGACGGAGCCTTGCTCTGTCCCCCACACTGAAGTGCAGTGGCACAGTCTTAGCTCACTACAACCTCCACCTCCCGGGCTCAAGAGATTCTCGTGCTTTAGTCCCCGTGTAGCTGGGACTAAGGCACCTGCCACCACGCAGGGCTAATTTTTTGTATTTTATTTATTTATTTATTTTTAGAATGGGGTCTTGCTCTGTCACCCAGGCTGGAGTCTCGGCTCACTACAACCTCTGCCTCGCGAGTTCAAGCGATTCTCCTGTCTCAGCCTCCCGAGTAGCTGGGACTACAGATGTGTACCACCATTTTTTTAAATTTTATTTTAGTAGAGACAGGGTTTCCCCATGCTGCCTAGGGTGGTCTTGAACTCCTGAGCTCAGGCAATCTGCCTACCTCAGCCTCCCAAAGTGCTAGGATTACAGGTATGATTACAGGCCGCTACCTTTTTCTTTTTAGTTATTGATTGGGCACCTACTGTGTCAGGCATTGTGCTCAATTCTTCTTGCATTATCTCACTTAATTCTTCCAACAACATGAAATAGACACAATTATCTGCTCTGAGATGAGATGAGAAAGGAGCAGGCACAGTGGCACATGCCTTTACTCCCAGCTACTCCTGAGGCCAAGGCAGAAGGATCGCTCGAGCCCAGGAGTTCGAGGCTGCAGTGAGCCGTGATCGTGCCACACTGCATTCCAGTGTGGGTGACAGAACAAGACTTTGTTTCTAAAAAATTAAAATAAAACTGAGGAAGCTGAGACTCAGCGGGTAAGTGACCGTCTAGGGTCACATGGCTGGGCGGCAGCAGAGCCAGACTTTGAAGGTGGAGCTTCTAACACCAGCCTGGGCCTTCAAGCTGTGGAGACACACTGCTCCTTCTCTGCCTTTCTAGTGCTATTTAGAGCCACTTCCTGCTGCTCTTTCTGTCTCATCTTTCTAATTGCCCTGGGCTTTGGGCTGCCGCTCCTGCTCCTGCACCTGCCTCAGGGCTGTCGTTGGAGGCAGGAGGGCCCCGCAGGGCTCTGCGAAGCGTGCTTATTTGGCCAGTATTCCCTTTCCTGGAGCAGCTAGTTGTCGGTCCTCGTTTTCCCCCGTCTCTAAAATGGGCAGATAGGACCAGATGCGACTTTCAGGGCCTTCTTTCAGTCCTTGACGATTCTGGTGACTTGCATTGTCAAGGTCAGGTGGAGTTCTGAGGCCCAAAGCACTGAGTGACAGAATTCCATCAGAGCTCCCATTCGCGTGCCCATCCCTGACATGTGTCATTCCCCAAACCTGCTCAGCCTGGTTGGTTAGATTCTGCTCCTTTTCCCCCTTACTCATACCGAGCTGCCCTTGTAATATTTCTGAGCTGGCCTACTGGCCATGCCCCCGCGCCTGTGTGTAGGAATTAGTGTCTGAGGAGAAAAGTTCAGAGCACTAGGACACCCCCCACCATTTCATTAGCACTGATCTGGGGGGCTTGAAGGGCAGGGATTCTAACCTGACACTGTTTACATTTTTACTTTGTTTTTTTTTTTGAGAGGTCTCGGCTCTGTGACCGGGCTGGAGATGGCAGTGCGCGAGTCTCAGCTCACCAAACCTCCGACCCCTGGGTTCAAGCAATTCTCCTTCCTCAGCCTCCCGAGTAGCTGGGATTACAGATGCCACCACCATGCCTGGCTAATTTTTGTATTTTTAGTAGAGCCCGGATTTCACCATGTTGGCCAGGCTGTTTCTTTTCTTTTTTTTTTTGAGATGGAGTCTCCCTCTGTCGCCCAGACTGGAGTGCAGTGGTGCAATCTTGACTCACTGCAACCTCTGCCTCCCAGGTTTAAGCAATTCTCCTGCCTCAGTCTCCTGAGTAGCTGGGACCAGTGCCACTAACCTCGCTAATTTTTGTTCCTTTTGTAGAGACAGGATTTCA